TTAATTATAATGTAACACACAATTTATTAAATAAGTTCGACAATAAAAAACTACAAAAAAATTATATTATTTATAGAATAAAAAATGAGATATAATTATTTATCTTGTATATCAATTTAATAATATTATACTTAAAAATTAAGTATTTAAATTTTTTATTGTACAATTAACAACAATTAATTATAAAAACATACGAAATAAAATAAAATTTAACCATTAATCAAACTTATAATAAATAATCTAAGTTTTAATATTAACAACACATGACTACTTTTATATTTATAATAAGTTATAAATATATATATATATATATATATATATATATTTATATAAGATTCAACGGTTGCGGGTAAACGTGTAGGGTAATCGGGTCGGGTGTCGGTTTTTCTACTATACTCTCGCACCCAACCCAACCGGGGTTCGGGTAGCATAATTCTACCCGAACCCGACCCAAAACTTGATCTTTTCGGGTTTACCCGACCCGAAAATACGAGTAACCCGCGTGTAACCCGACCCTACAGGTTTTTATTGACATCCCTATTTTCCTTAAACTTCTTTTAAGTGCATGTCAATTTTTGGGAAAATAGATTTAACTTTTGAAAGAAAGTTGAAATCTACACTACTTCAATTTTGTATTTTGAACAAATAGATCTAACTTTTGAAAAAAAAAAAATGAAAAATACACTACTTCAATTTTGTACCCTTTTTTATCTTCAATTATTTTTTATTTTTATTTTTTATTTTTTTTTTCTTGATAAATCTTCAAATGGTGTGAAACCCACACAATCTCACGACGTTGACAATATTCAAATATTTGTGCTTAGAAAAATATGTTAATGCTGATTTTTCACCTAACCTTGTTAGTTGTTAATATCACACTTGGCTTTGCGGCTTTTGTGGTCCTACCCGACTCGATTTCGGATTAGTCGATTCCCTTGTGGATTCGAAAACCGAAAGATCCCTGTACCAAAAAAAAAATATCACACTTGGCAGCAAAGAATATTTCATAGGTGATTTGAATTGACCCGACCGACCCGCACCATTTCAACCCAATCTGAGTTGATAATTTTATTGAAATTTGGAAGCTTCTTCTGTGGTTAACATTGGATTAATTAATGGGTCATACTCGTTTTTTTTTTTGGATAGCAATCTTTTATTTGTGATTTGGACTTAATTTGACTTTTCGATCTACTTGATATTTTAAATGTTTAATATTCTTGTGTAATGTAATCAAGAGGGGATTGATAAAAAGTTAAAACGGGTTTAAATTAGTCTAGTTGAGTTAATTATTATTATTATTTTTTTTATTTACTTGTAAAAAGTTTCTCGCACTTCATGCTTTAATTACTTGTTATTGTAGTTGTTAATTTCTATATAACAACAATTAGCTATTCATTATTTACTTACATTTATTTCTATAATCCCACAACAATAATTTAACTTTTACATATTCATATTTATGATATAGATATTGTTCTTTTTCGAACACCAACTTAGTATACGAGAGTCATACTTATAATTGTTTTATTAGGCATCTGAATCACACTTCACGACATGTACATTTAAAACTAACGCCAATTTGTTGATAGTCGATTGTCACCGACATAATAAAAAAAATTGTGTAAAATATAAAATTATAGATATAGAGAATTAAGCAGTATAAGCTTGTCGATAATTTTGGAAGAATAGTATACATATTTTATTTCATTTTTTGCCCTTGCATTTTTTTTAAGTTTTTCGAGTGTGTTCTTTATTGAATCTCTTATTCTTTTATGTATAGAGTCATGTAGCTTCTTTTTTTTTTTCACAAGATGATTATATTAAAACTGAACAACTTAAAACGAGTACACCCGAAGTGTCAGGCTATCAGTTGACACCAAAAGAACCAACATAAAGACTATATATACC